CAGGTGGACTTTGGCCCTGGCAGCCTGAACCTGGCTCTCCCTACCTTTGTCAGCCTGGAAACCTCTTCTTCCGCAGTGACTTTATTAGCATCTAATGATTTACAAAGTGCTTGCTTAATGCAGCGAGTCACGTAGTACAGAGACATCTCCCGGGAAAGCTTAGAGCCTCTCTCTCATCACCGACCCTCCTCCTCTCTAATCTCCCTCTTCTGTGGAGGAAGAAAAAATGTGTATTTCATTTCCCCATCACTTTATTTATTCAGTTTTTATGTGTGTTCATTCTTTTGACTAATATTAATTGAGTACCTACTGGGGAGGTAGGCTTGGTCCAAGATGCTGGGTACAAACCTGAATAAGGTGCAGGGGGCTCCAGACCACAAGGGGATGATGTCATGATGGCGGGAGACACAAAGGAAATAAGAAAATATGGGAACGGATAAGATAATTCCAGATCAAGGCAATTGCGGAAGGGATAAACAGGATGCTGTAATAGAGACGAACAGAAGGTGGGGAGCTGTTTAAATGGGGTGCTCAGAGCTGGTACCTTCTGCACCGGGACAGAAAGGATGAGAAAAAGTTAGCCCTGGGAGGACCTTGGGGGAAGAGCTTTCCAGGCAGAGATAACTCAAGTGCAAAGGCCCTGAGGCAGGAAGGAAGCAGAAAAGAGCGGTGTGTCTGGGGAGCAAAGTTTGGGGGCAGGGAGGTGGTGGCAGCTGGTTATAGGCAGGAGTTTAGATCATATGCTGAGTACAAGAGTCTGTGGGACTTCCCCGGTGGTCCAGTGGTTAAGAATCCATGCTTCCACTGCAGGGAGCATGGGTTCGATCCCTGGTTGATGAACTAAGATCCCGCACGCTGTGCGGCCAAAAAAAAAGACTCTGTGCGTGTGTGTGTGTGTATGTGTGTGTGTGTGTGTGTGTGTGTGTGTTTTGAGGGGGTAAGGAAACAGGAAGTTTCATCCATCAGCCCAGTGACAGGTGACAGCGGAGGCCGTGGGGATGGAGATTAACAGTGAGTTTGACGGCAACACCGATCACGAGGACTTGGTTATGGATTCGATGTTACGGAAAAGAGGAGTCAAGATCTTCCGCTGGGTCTGGGCTCAAGCTCACCACTCGCTGGGTCGGTAGCGATATCCTTTATAGCGCTGGGGGAATCTGAGGAAAATGAGCTTTGGGGGAAAATACCCCACAAAAAAGTCTGTGGGGAAGGTTAAGTGTGCAGTGCCGGGCAGATGTCTGGTAGGAAGCTGGTACCTGAGTGTGGAGCTCGGGGCTGCAGCAGGACGGGAGACGTGGGCCGTGTGCCCGGGGAGCAGGCTGAGTCTCCTAGGGAGGTGGTGGGATGCACAGGGGGAGGGGCCGGATCACCCAGGAGAGGAGAGAAGCTGGGAGGTGAGCAGAAAGAGGGGGAAAACCATGGGGCAGGGTGGTCACCGCAGTGGGGGAGCAGCGTGTCTCAGGAAGGAGGTTATGCTCAGCTGTGTCCCTTGCTGCTGGCTGGAGGGGCAAGAGGATCACTGAAAGATATCCCTTTCTTTTTCTTTTGGGACCTGTGCTGTGCGGCGTGTGGTCTCTTAGTTCCCTGACCAAGGATCGAAACTGCGCCCCTTGCAGTGGAAGCGCAGAGTCTTAACCACTGGACCGCCAGGGGAGTCCCGAACTATCCCTTTCTTCTGGCAACACGGGGATCATCGGTGACCTTGTCGAGAGCAGGTTCTCTGGAGTGGTGGGGAGAGGGAATGTCATGGGAGGAAAGCAGACAGGTGGGCAGGAAGCAAAACATGCAGAATAAAACATGCATAAAACTTTCTGATAGAAGTTTATTTATTTACGTCTATTTTTCTCCATGAAGGAGTGAAGAGAATGGAGGGAGATGTGACTCAAAGGAGAGTGTTTGTTTTTAAAGGTGGGAGGTATCTGAGCCTGTGGTTTGCTAATGGGAGCGATCCAGTAGTGCTGGGCATGATGTGGAAAACCACAGAAGAGAAACCCACTGGAAGAGAGAGGGCGTGAGCCCCAGAGCGCAGATGGAAGGTTGGACTTTGAACGGGTGGACCGTGGAGTCAATCTTGTCTCTTTTGCTTAAAGTTCATCCAGCCCCTAGGGTAGCAGGTGGCACCTAGTAGGTGCTCAATAAAATCTGCGTTGGGTGAATGAATGTGAGTACCGAGGCAGACAGGTTTCTAGATGGGGAGGTGAGGGGAGGGGGCCTTTCTTCTTCTGTTGGTTCGGGGAAGGCTGGGGTGGGGATGGCGGGGGGCTGAGAGAGTTGAATAGGAGCGGCGGTGTAGGAGAATCTCGCTTCATGGTAGAGGCTCCATGAGGATTTATTTCTCGTTCAGCTGACAACATGAAATGAATGATGCCCACCTTGCCCCCACAGCATTGCCACTCCACCTTTGTCATCATTTAGGTTCCCAGATATACTTGTATGTGTTTCTTTGCAGTGTTTTCCTCACGTCTATTTCGGGTCCTGGCTGACACCACACTCTTTTGATGACAGTGGCTTTATCCCTTTTCTAGTTTTTAGTATATTGCAAGGACCGCCTCCCTTCCTCATTTCTCTCTCACTTCTTCACTTTCAACCACATTTAGTCTGTCATTTGGACATAAACAGCCCTTTTCTTCCTCATTAAAAAGAAAACGAAAAACCCTGAGAACAATCATGGTGATTCTGTTTGTTTTGCATTTCTATCAATTTATTTGGGACATTATATTTATGTCTTTAGGAAAACTTTTTCCTTATTAAAAATACAGGCTTCGTAACTTTTTAAAAATTGGGGTATAACTTACAGTTAAGTGCAGAATCTTAGGTTTCTAGGCAGTGTAACCACCACCCAGACTGAGGTGGGGACTCCCTCGTGTCCCCTCCCTGCCGTCCCCCATCCAGAGGGAACACATGTTAGGACTTCTATGATCATAGATTGACTTTGTCTGCGTTTGAACTTCCTATAGATGGAATCAGAATGCACTCCTTCATATGTGACATCTTTCATTCCATATTACATTTGCGGAGCTCATCCGATGCTCACTGAAGCCTAATGCTTGTGAGAAGTGAGGAAACTGTCTCCTACCACCGGTCCATCCTCAGGCAGCCGTCTACCCACGAGGACAATTGTCACTAGCCCCACACCGCCACTCCCCCACGGTCAGCCACGCCTCCCCCCTGCCCTTCAGTTTGGCCGATTCTAATACGAATAGGTTTTGATTTCCCTGTTCTGACAAAGGCCCGACTCAGCCTGAGTGCCTCAGGGACTGGGGTGAATGATTCTGAAGTTTCTGGAGTCCTGGCCAGGCTGCTCTGTGCAAGGTCCCAGCTCTGCCCTCCTGAGGGTGCCCTTTGCTCCCTAGAGAAGGGTGGAGGAGAGGCTGCCTGTGCCCAGCCCGGCTCTCGGAAGTCCCCAGGCTGTGTCATCTCCCAAGCACCTCAGGGTCCCTGTGTCATAGGCGAAACTCTGAGACAAGGGCCTGGGGAGATGGGCCCTTGGGAATGGGGGCCTTGGGGTGATGGAGGCGCGTCTGCCAGGAGCCTGCCCTCTGACAGCACGGGGGAGGCGGGCTTCTCCCAGTGTAAGCCCACCTGTCCACTGGGGTTGCACCCTTTGTCCACAGGGCGTATACTTTGTGGATTTTTGGGTCACTTCAAGGAATGGTGTGGGGAGACGGGGAGGAGGGGCTGCTGTTGGAGCCCAGAAACCAAACCAAAGGAGGAGATTTGATGATGAGTTTCTTCCCGGAAACCACCCTTGGGAAGTGTCAACATCCTCTGATCTTCGTCAGAGCTGAGATATTTGGGTGTGTCTGGGGAACCCGAATGTGTTTCCTTTTTTTTAAGTCACTCTGTGTGTGTGTGTGTGTGTGTGTTCCTTGTGGGTCAGGACCATGGTTAGTTCTGTGTGCTCAGGCACAGTTGTGTGCCAGGCCTGATCTTTGTCATATATGTGGTACCTGAGGTCCCACAGGACATCCTGAGGTGGGACCGCCAGCTGTAACCAAGCAAATAAGCCATAAGTCCCAGGCAGGAAGCAATGCAGAAGGCCCTGGGACAGACGCAGCTGAGCCAGGCCTGACTCCTCTGTGGTCCCAGCACTGTGGTCCGTGTCTGCTCCCCAAGCCTCCTGCCCCAGGGCTGCAAGCCAGGGTGCCACTTGGGGCTGGAAGACACAGTCCCCACATTCCTCGGGCCTGGAGGGGGACAGCAAGAGCATGGGCGGCCACGCTTTCTGAGGCCAAAGTACGTCCCACAGCCACGTGTCCCTGCGTGGTCCTGGTCCAGCCTGGTCCCTCCAGGAGCCTTTCTCTTCTCCTCTGTGTAATGGGGTGAAAATGCTCCATGGCCAGTCAGCTGGCCCTGCACGGGGGGCTCCTAAGGAGAGCTCGGCCCAGGTTTCTCCCCTTCCCTTCCCTTCCCCAAGGATGAAGGCGGCTGCCTGCCTGTCCGAGCAGCTTCTCCCCTCCCCACTGAGCGCCCCACGGGTCCCTCAGCCCAGCGGCCCCAGGGAGCCTGCGCCAGGCCACGGCCCGTGCAGGAGACTCAGCGATGGGCCGCCATGGAGCTTGTCCTCCAGGGTATGGACACCTGTCCTTTCGTCTGTCCCCTCACCACCTGCCTTGCCGGTCCCTGCTGCCCAGATGACCGCACTCTCGCAGACCTCACTGGTCCATGGTCAGTCTTGGTGGCATCCAAGTCGGGCCTTTGTCAGAACAGGGAAAAAGAAACTTAAACCTCTCCGTGAAGGTCTGAGGTTTGGTCGGAGAAGTTCATTGTGTCATGAGTGGCCAGAGTTCAGGAAGGGGTGAGGCCCAACTCTGCTGACACAGCGGTTTCCAGACGCTCTGATCGTATATAAGGTTCCTGGTGCTTGAAGAGCTTCAGGTAGGAGGCCACAGGTTGTGACCGAGCACAGAAACAGAAGACTCAGAGCCAGGGACGGTGAAGAAACTGACTCATGGAGGCCAGCTCATCACCTGGGACCAGGTACCACGCTACAGGGGAGCGGGGCAGTGGGAACTAGGACAGGGGCGGGACGGTGGGGAGAGGCCGTGACCCAGTCCGACTTTGGGCAGAGGGTCAGGTCTTCATTGAGGCTCTGAGCATCTTGCATCGCTCCTGGGGGGAGATCCTGAATTCCCTGGGAGCCCCCAGCGGGGGTCAGAGGGGGAGGACTCGTGGCTCCAGCAGAGATGTGGGGTGCAGAGGGAAAGAGTGTGCGGGGAGGAGAGGAGCGCTGGGCAGTCCCAGAAGGAGCCCCGTGTCTTTGGGCTTCTCCCGCCTTTGACCGTAGTTGCCTGTTGGATGAAAACACCTTCACTGAGAACTTCATGAATCAGATGAGCCCTCGTAAGACCTACCTGTGCTACAAGGTGGAGATCCTGGATGGTGACGCTAGGATCCCTCTGGACGAGAAAAAGGGCTTCGTGCGCAACAAGGTGACTGACCCAGCCCGCCCGCAGCAGGCAGGGCCTCCCTATTGTGGGACATTCAGGGTAGAAGGTTGTCAGTTGCACACAGGATGTCCCACAAGCTCTCTCACCCCTGGTCCCTGCCGTTGCTACCGCTGCTCTGCTTGGAATCAGGTGAGGACCCTTGCTGTGTGGCTGGCAGCTCTGAGCCACATGTCATAAGCCAATCACAGCAATCCAGGGCCTGGTACCTCCAATGTCACCCCAAGCTCTAGGAATAGGCTACTCCTCTCCTGCTGTGCCTCTGGGGAGGGGTTGGGACAGAGGGAAAGGCATCTGGACAAGGGGCCGGGTTCTTCCCCGGATTCCGCCCGGGGGATGGCTCTGGCTAGAGAGCCCTATTTCTTCCTCAGTCACTGTGGACTTAGACGGGCCCAGCAGGACCCCTGCCCACTGCTTGAGAGATCTTGCCAAGGGCGCTGATCCCTGCAACCCCACTGCCAGCTGTCTTTAGCCCAAGGACGCCCCTCAGCCTCGGGCTCAGCACAGGGTGAGGCCCAGAGTAGAAGATTGTAGAAGTTTTGGTGCACATGTGGGGTGGGGTAGAGGGGGAGCTGGAGAGCAGGGTGAGTCACTCCAGGGAGGAAACACCCACTTCCATGGCAGGAGGCCAGCGTGGGAGCTCCCCTGTCCTCCTCTCTGCAGGGCTGGACTAGGTGAGGCTCCTGAACGCCCTACCTCGGGCACAAAATAAGAGGCGCTCCAGAAAACTCAGAAATCAAGATGAGTCACATTTTAAGGCAATCGTTTAAAAATCAAAATTAACGCAATTCTATGATGAGCAAAACATCAACATTTGCATGAAGACTGATGGGTTTCAGTGCTATGCAGAGCCACAGGGAGCCGAGGGCCCATAACAAGTCATCACTGCTTGCCGAGCTTTTTGTAAAACACTGATACTGAGTCTCTCATGGAGCTTTGCGTTACTTTGAATCACGTAAATGCTGCGTTGAAACGCCATTCACTTGGCGCTGAGGCTTGCCCAGCGCCTCACCCACCTGCCTACTCTGGCCTCGTCCTGCCCCAACCCCGTCCACTTTTCTTCCTCTTCTATGTAGGGTGCTAACGAACCAGGGGGGCCCCGCCATGCAGAGAGCTACTTCCTGGACCGGATCCGTTCTTGGAATTTGGACCGGGACCTGCACTACAGGCTCACCTGTTTCATCTCCTGGACCCCTTGTGATACCTGTGCCCAGGAACTGGCTGATTTCCTGGGGAAGAACAGCCACGTGAGCCTGCACATCTTCGCCTCCCGCATCTATAGCCGCTTCGGTTATGAGGATGGGCTGCGCACACTGCAGGCGGCTGGGGCCCAAATCGCCATCATGGCCTCTAACGGTCAGCACGGGTCTCCTGGGGGTGGGGCGGTGGCAGGGAGAGGCCTGTGGGAAGTTGCTAGAAAGGGGCAGGTAGGGTGGGAATCCTTGGTAGAGAGGTCTTTGTGTGCTGCCTGAGAGGTGATGCTAGACTCTGGAAGGAGTCTATGGGAAGAGAGAGTTCAGGGGAGCAGAGCTGCTTCGGGGAGGGGAAGAAGGGGAGTGGGTGGATATGCAAGAAAGACTAGGGGACTTCCAGAAAGGAGAATTGGGCTGGCTCAAATTCCAGGTGCAAGAAAGAGCTGGAGGGGTAAGCTATTGAGTCCCCAGGAGGAAGGAGAGAGGAGGAAGTGAAATTATGACGGGGAAAGCCTGTCCCGAAGAGTCATTTCAGCCCTGTGGCCCCAACCCTTCCCCAGACTGGAGTTCACCTTTCTCTCCCCTGTTCCATCTCAGAGTTTGAGCACTGCTGGGAAAACTTTGTGGACCACCAGGGAAAACCCTTTCAGCCCTGGGATGGGCTGGAAGTAGTGAGTCAACGTCTATGTAACAACCTGCAGGCGATTCTCCAGGTGAGCGCTCCTTCCTGCTGCTTCCCTGGACCTCCTCCGTCCTCTCCTCTCCCTGTGGCTTTTTCCTCCTCTCAGAGCCTCCTTTGGGTGACCTGCTCCCTCCTGGGGTGCCAGCTCCATCCTTTCCTTCCCTTCTCATGTGGTCCCTCTACTTTCTCACTTGCTGTGTCCCTCCTTCCTTCCCCATCTTTGTAACACTCCCCAGACCTCCTCTTGGTTTTTGTTTCATCTTCCAACTGTCTCACTCCCTACTCCCATCCTAGACGCAGGAAAACTGAAGGATGGACGTCAACCTCTCTAAAGAAGTCAGGAGACCTCTGTTGAACAGGAGAAAAAAACAGCTTTTTTTGAGAAATATAAACATGCCATTTGCTACCCTCTCCAGATTGATCCAAAGAAACCAGTGAAAGGCAAATGGCTCATAATAAAGAGTTAAAAAAAAAAAAAATCTGGGGGCTTCCTTGGTGGCGCAGTGGTTGAGAGTCCGCCTGCCGATGCAGGGCACACGGGTTTGTGCCCCGGTCTGGGAAGATCTCACGTGCCGTGGAGCGGCTGGGCCCGTGAGCCATGGCCACTGAGCCTGCGCGTCCGGAGCCTGTGCTCCGCAACGGGAGAGGCCACAACAGTGAGAGGCCCACGTACCGCAAAACAAAACAAAACAAAACAAAATAAAACAAAAAACAAAAACAATCTGGGTAGATTTACTTTTCATTCAAACCTATATTACGTCCCAATCTACATCAGTAAGATTCTATTCAATATTATCAGAATAGTTTTCGATTTTTAGAGAAATGGATATTTTAATTGATTTTAAATCCAAAGCAATAAAATGAAATATTAAGAATCTTCCACCAAATATTTTTCCTCAGTAAATGTATCATGAACTACAAGTAGTTTATTAAAAGTTGCAGACATGCAGATGCCTTTCTCTTTTGTAGTGGATCTGATTCATGGTGGAGTGGAGGTATAGTGGTCACACTAATTCCTGCTGGAGTGAGTAAAAGTCAACTAAATCTTGTAGGAGGGGAATCTAGGATTCAAAAATCTACAGTATACCATAATGATGAAAAATCTGAAAGTGAAATTAAGAAAACGCTCCCATTTACCATTGCAACAAAAAGAATAAAATATCTAGGAATAAACCTACCTAAGTAGACAAAAGACCTGTGTGCAGAAAATTATAAGACACTGATGAAATAAAGATGATACAAATAGATGGAGAGGTATACCATGTTCTTGGATTGGAAGAATCAACATTGTGAAAATGACTATACTATCCAAAGCAATCTACAGATTCAATGCCATACTTATCAAACTATCACTGGCATTTTTCACAGAACTAGAACAAAAAAAATCTCACAATATGTAGGGAAACACAAAAGACCCTGAATAGCCAAAGCAATTATGAGAAAGAAAAACAGAGCTGGAGGAATCAGGCTCCCTAACTTCAGACTATACTGCAAAGCTACAGTAACCAAGACAGTATGGTACTGGCACAAAAACAGACATATAGATCAAAGGAACAGGATAGAAAGCCCAGAGATAAACCCACACACATATGGTCACCTTATCTTTGATAAAGGAGACAAGAATATACAGTGGAGAAAAGACAGCCTCTTCAATAAGTGGTGCTGGGAAAACTGGACAGCTACATGTAAAAGCATGAATTTAGAACACTCCCTAACACCATACACAAAAATAAACTCAAAATGGATTAGAGATCTAAATGTAAGGCCAGACACTATTAAACTCTTAGAGGAAAACATAGGCAGAACAAGCCATGGCATAAATCACAGCAAGATCCTTTTTGACCCACCTCCTAGAGAAAGGGAAATAAAAACAAAAATAAACAAATGGGACCTAATGAAACTTAAAACCTTTTGCACAGCAAAGGAAACCATAAACAAGACAAAAAGACAACCCTCAGAGTGGGAGAAAATATTTGCAAACGAAGCAACTGACAAAGGATTAATCTCCAAAATTTACATGCAACTCAATGTCAAAAAAACAAACAACCCAATCCAAAAATGGGCAGAAGACCTAAATAGACATTTCTCCAAAGAAGATATACAGATTGCCAACAAATACACGAAAGAATGTTCAACATCATTAATCATTAGAGAAATGCAAATCAAAACTACAATGAGATATCATCTCACACCGTCAGAATGGCCATCGTCAAAAAATCTACAAACAATAAATGCTGGAGAGGGTGTGGAGAAAAGGGAACCCTCTCGCACTGTTGGTGGGAATGTAAATTGATACAGCCACTATGGAGAACAGTATGGAGGTTCCTTAAAGAACTAAAAATAGAATTACCATACGACCCAGCAATCCCACTACTGGGCATATACTCTGAGAAAACCATAATTCAAAAAGAGTCATGTACCACAATGTTCATTGCAACTCTATTTACAATAGCCAGGACATGGAAGCAACCTAAGTGTCCATCGGCAGATGAATGGATAAAGAAGGTGTGGCACATATATATAATGGAATATTACTCAGCCATAAAAAGAAATGAAATTGAGTTATTTGTAGTGAGGTGGATGGACCTAGAGTCTGTCATACAGAGTGAAGTAAGTCAGAAAGAGAAAAACAAATACCATATGCTAACACATATATATGGAGTCTAAGGGAAAAAAATGGTCATGAAGAACCTATAGACAAGACAGGAATAAAGACGCAGACCTACTAGAGAATGGACTTGAGGATATGGGGAGGGCGGGAGGGTAAGCTGGGACGAAGTTAGAGAGTGGCATGGACATATATACACTACCAAATGTAAAATAGATAGCTAGTGGGAAGCAGCCGCATAGCACAGGGAGATCAGCTCGGTGCTTTGTGACCACCTAGAAGGGTGGGATAGGGAGTGTGGGAGGGAGAAAGATGCAAGAGGGAAGAGATATGAGGATATATGTATACGTATAACTGTTTCATTTTGTTATAAAGCAGAAACTAACACACCACTGTAAAGCAATTATACTCCAATAAAGATGTTAAAAAAAAGAATCTACAGGCATTGACAACCTATCACCCTGCCAACAATACTGTTTTGAAATGACAGACCATGCGACAGGAGAAGAGAAAGAATGAGTCTAAATACTGGAAGGGAAATTTCAAATCAGCAGTCGGGTGAACACCAGGAATTACTTCAGCCCCACACCACTCCTAATTCTACCACCCTGTAGGGGAAGCCAGGGAGGTGCTTTCCTGCACAGATGATGAACTGGCCCCTGCACAGTACATGGACCCAAGCAGGACCCATCTCAGGCACTAGATTTCTCTCCTGCCACTGATTCTGTCGGGCCTGAATTGAGCTGAGTCAGCCCCTGACAGCTGGTTGTCCTGCACAGGTGTCCAGACAGCGAAGTCTCCCCAGGTCTCCCCTCACAGACTTCTGCTCACATGTCAGGGGCCCAAACTGTGTCACAACCTCACACAATGACTGTGAGGGGCTGGGAGTGGAATCATTTGGTTTGAGACTTGAAGGGATAGAAAATAAGGGAGAGACGATGATGATGGCCAAGGAGGGAGGAAGGGACGAAGTCAGGGAGGGCTGGCACCCCGGAGGGAAGGACTGATAGAACAGTGTGACCCGGAAGGGGGAGGGGACGGGAGAGGAGGGGATAGGAAAGGAGAGGAGAGGAGCAAAGCAGGGCCAAGGGCCAAGGGTGGAAGGACAAGGGACCTAAGGACAGGATGCTGGGATGGAGGAGGGTGGGCAGGGACAGAGCTACCTGGAGGGGCTATAAGTCAGGCTTGTTTCACAGAAGAAGCCATGTGGGGAGGGTAGGATGGTCCAGGCCTGGCTCAGCTGCTCAGCGATGCTGTCAAGGAGCAGCCTGCTGTTCCTGCTCCCCAATCTCAGCTCTCGGCACTTGTCTCCTCAGGGCCTCAGATGGCTGCCCACCTCCAGACATCACATCTCATTCCAGAAGGGAAGAAAGAGGATGGGACAAACCCCAGAACTTCAGAGCCTGTACATCTTTTTAATGGATACTAGCAGTGTCCTACCGTGAGAAGGGGCTGATGGGAAAACTCACAGGTCACACTTTCTGTTGGTGTTTCACTTGAGCCAGTGTGGGCTGCAGAGGGAAAATGATCGGTTCTTGGGCTCCTCACCTGGAACATATGGAGAATAATAGTGACTGACTGAGGGCTGTTGTGCAGTTAAACGTCAAGTACTCAGGACGATTTGACATAGTTAGTCTTCAACAGATGATGATGCTACTATAAAAAAGAGGAGAAATCACTCATTTAATAAATCACTCAATCCACAGATAATGCAGTCTTCCGGCACATTCTGGCTCACACCGCGTGCAGCCAGGTGCCCAGAGAGACATGGTGGACAGGCAGCACTGGGGGCCTCAGTAGCAGAGCGGTTCTGGCCGAGACCCAGGCCAGGCTGGTTCCTGCTCCTGAGCCCCTCAGTGTCGCTGATGGGGCCTCACCTCCTCCTCCCGGGGTCTCCTCCTCTGACCCCTAGGGGTTCTCCTCCTGCACTCCTGACTCGATGTCTGGGCCTGGCCTCTTTTGATGGGTCCCGGCTGTGTTCTCAGCTGATGCCCTCATTTCTGTGTCTCCTGCCCCCTTCGGCTGCAGGTGTGCCAGGGAGTCTGCAAGTCCCCAGAGACGAAGGAGTCATGCCCATGGGAGGGAGGATGGACTGAGAGGGGACCCCTTTCCCTTATCTTTATTTTATTTTTAATAGTAATTAATTAATTTATTTATTAGGCTACATTGGGTCTTAGTTGCGGCACTCGGGATCTTTTAGTTGCGGCATACAGGTTCTTAGTTGCAGCATGCTGGATCTAGTTCCCTGACCAGGGATTGAACCTGGGCCCCCAGCAATGGGAGCGTGGAGTCTTAGTCACTGGACCACCAGGGAAGTCCCTCACTTGGCTTTAAATTAACAGCTACCTTTTGGTTGCAAACTCACCATGTCTCCTCGCGTTGACCAAGCCCTGTTCATACATAAGCTTATCCCAACTTTACCAAATCTCAGAACAAGGAATTACTACTTAGCACTAGTTTGCTATGAGGCAAAATCCTTTTTCCCCTCTTCCCAAGGTCTTACAGGTAGGACGTGGTAGGGGCCAGATTCACACCTGGGTCCGTGCCAGTCCCTAGCCAACACTGAGACACTTTCTTAAAGACTGTGAGTTATACTAGGATGTACACAGAGGGGCAGGAGAAGGTCACAAGCAAAGCCGGGGTTTCCAGCCCAGGAGTCTGGAGTTGGCCCAGTCAGACCAGAGAGCACATGTGAGAGACTTCAGGGAAGAGGGGAGGGACTGAGACAGGACCAGGATCCTGGGGAGATGGCTGGAGAGGGCAAAGGAGGGTCAGGGCTGAGGGTTGGAGGGGCCCGAGTGAGGGGACAGGAGCATTTGTCACCTAGGGAGCTGGAGGGGAGGTATCTTCATCATCCTGGAACCCTGTGAAGGTGCCATG